AGTTCAAGCATATTTGATATTCCAGTCCACGACACCATGTCATCTCTTTCCACTGGCACAATGTACATGAACTCACTGTTTCTATCTTAGACTAAGCTCTGCATAAGAAAGGCAAAATCTCTGGGATAAGGATAGTTTCATTCTTCCCTTATATCTTGGGAAAGAAAGAGTCCTCTTTCCCCCAGTACTGCTAATTAAGTGTGATGCCAACTAAGGGAAACTGAGTGATATGTCCCCGGGTGCAGTCAGTTCTCAGAGCAAGTGGCTCTCATTTACCGCATGTGCCCACAAAGCTGGATGCAGAGAGTAAAACACATTTCCCGAAAGTAGGACCTACTGGGAAAGTCCCTGTTCATCTTCCTGGTATACAACGTCCTCCAGCTGGGCATGTTTGCTTTTTAGCCTTAAAAATCAATAACTGTGAACTCTCGCTGCTGTCCAGGCCATTGTAGTAGACAATAAAGGGGGCAGGTGGTTTCTAACAGCTGAGAGGAAATTGCCATCCGAGATGGTGTGAATGCCATTTTAGGCTGGGACTGTCCCACATCCTGTCTAGTGGTGAGAGGTGTCCGTTTAAAACCTGGTAGAGAATGCAACGCCTGTCCCAATAGCTTATTTCCTTGTATCAGATCCTGTAAGGGCTTGAGCAATGTTTTCTTTTGTTTTCCTTGAGCTAAGAGTGGGAAAATTAGAAACTTACCTGGAAAACACACACACAGCTCACATCCTGCTGTGTGGCTTAATGTCCCCTGGTAGGAAACAATACTGCCTGTAGCCTTTTTGCCAACAGTACTTTCCAGATGTTCAGCATTGTACAGCTTAAGGAGCACATCTGTATGTATGACTGCATCTGAGTTTTGTTGTGGTATTAGTTTGTGTGGTATTATTTTTTGTCATCACAACAATCTTGCGTGGTATTATTTTTTATCATCATCATCTCTCACATGGACCATTTCAATAGACTTCGCACTTTTCGCCAGTTTCTCTCCCATCCAATCTATTCCCCTACGGTGCCAATTTCTAGAATGCCAATATGATCTGCTCAAGTACCTTGGCTATTCCCCCAACGGCCACAGTGTAAAATCTGGTCTTCATTGTGACAAAAGGCACCTCTTTGGATCTCAGAGTACCCGTTTAGCTTTATTTTTCTCCCTCCCCTGCAATGCTGTGATCACACCCCACATCTAGGGGCTCCAGACAGGACCCTTTCTTTCAGCCTTTACTGTCATGACAATGTAGAGGTTCATTGCAGAGACCCAGGACTGTCGAGAGCTGGCTCCTGTTACCGTCACGTGATAGATACTTACCTCTGAAGGTAAGTTAGTTAAACCCTCTCTGGCTCACCTACAAAATGGAGATCACTGTAGGACCTTCTATCAGGATGAATTGTGAGGAATAAGTGACTTATTAAGATACAGTGCTTAAACCGGTGCTTTGCATAATTAGTGCCCTATTAAATTGGCTGTTATTATTTTGCTTTCTATTGAAATGGTCGTCTCTTCTTTGTATACCTACTAAGTCTCTGTTCATCCTTTAATAGTCTCCTTTGTGCAAACCACTCCAAATTTCGAAGGTTGCATTTACTCTGTATCCTCTGTGTTTTCCTCAAGTTTTGCATACACATGTTTGTGATTTTGGCACTCAACCTGGTGTTTTCCAGTTACTTAGAGGTCTTCTCCGTGAGAGTTTGAGCTGCTCAGAAGCACAGTCCATTTCTGACTTATAAGTAGGTACTTGAGTCAGAAGAATATCTAGTACGTAGTACCTAATAAATATTTATAAGGTAAATATCCATTTTGCAATGTAGGAACTCACGAGCCAGGGTCCAAACTGCTAGGCCAGCTGACTGGTCTGTCTGCTTCCATGCTTTCCTCTCAATCCATTTTCCCACAATAGCCGGAATGATGAGATCATTTCAGTCACTTCGGTGGCTATTCATTGCTCATTGATAAGCCCCAGCCTCTAGGTCACGGCCTGCAAGTCCTCGCAGGATCTGGCCTCCGATTTTCCGCCTCTGCATCATGAGCTGTTCTCTCCTTGCTCCCATTCTCTAGCCATGCTGGCCCCCTTTTGTTCTTTCCCAATTTACATTTTCACTTGCTTTTAGCTCTATTTGGGGCACTATTTCCTAGGCTTCTCTCATAGCTCATTTCTTCTCACCCATCAATTTCATCTCGGACACCACCTCTTCAAAGATGTCTTTCCTGCCCACCCTGGCTAAACGAGCCCTTTGCCATACAATTACTTTCTATCCCATCCCCGTTTTCTTCATGGCATGGGTCATAATCTACAGTGACTTATTTTCTGACTCCTTCCGTTGGAATGAAAACTGCCCCAGGTGGCAAGCTTGTCTGCTTGTTCACCACACTAAAGGGAGTTATTCAGCTAGTACCTGTCACAGAGTAGGTGCTCAAAAGATGCATCTTAAATAAATGAATAAATACAAAATAGATCTTTTGAGAATAACGCTGTTCCAGAGGAATGACAAATCACAGAATAATAGAGCTTAATGCTTTTGTATGTCAGAGAAAGAGGGTGGAAAATTGTCAAGGTATCAGGATGTTCCAGTCCTTGCCTCCCTGAACACAACCAACAAGTTTCCTAGTGAAAAATAAGTTAACTTATGAAAAGCTTTCGCAAACATTCTTTCAAGTATTAAAACCCCTAAGAAAAAAAGCACGGTTAAAGGAGTGGATGACTATGAAATGCCTGCACAGATTAATGGGGTAACCACAAAATTAAAAAGAACTGGTTTTAATAGAGAACTGGAGCAGTGAGGTCTGCCCCCGCCCCGGCTGTCAGGGAGCAAGAGAAAATCGGGTGGAGGGAGTCATCCTTGAACGAAATGTGTAAGATTAACACTGCTTTTTATCTACTATATGTAATCTAACAATAAAAAAATATTTGCCTAGCACTTTACAGTTTAGAAACATATCTGTGTACATGGTCTATCTCATTTGATAAGACAGTTGAGTGATAGGCTAGCCCAGTAGAAAATCCATATGGCTCAATGTCAAGAAACCAGCTGCATGAGTGAAAAGCTGGGATGCTGATGAGTCGTTTTCCCTCCCTATTTCCTTTTTGGTAAAATGAAGGTGTTAGTCTAGAATCCCATTTGGTTTTTAGTCTGGAATCCCATTCGGCATATTCCATTTATGACAAATCAGACTTCCCCTTTATCTGGATCCAACATATAAGGTCCTTTTGGGGTCTTCATTCATATTCTTAAAATTGAATGAGTTGACTAATCACTTTTGTGAGTTCCCAGGTAGGCAAGGAAGGCCCCGGTCCATCGGGGTGAATTTGTCTGCCTTTTAAATTTGTCTCTCCTCTTCGATGTCATTTCTGACCAGTCATCTCTCTGGGTCTACCGTCTTTGGCCTGATGGCCTCTGTCATTTTACACTGCCTCTAAGTCCCTTCCAATAATGGATGTCAGCTTCACAAAGAAATAGATTTATCCTTTATTATACTTCAAGGAAAAGTTGCCCTGTAGTTAATCTGATAGGGTTTTTTTTTTCTATCTTCATGGTAAACGGCCAGAGAATTTTTCCTATATATATAATTTAAATTTTTCCTGTAACTTAAGTGCATTATATATTCTGGTGATTTTGGCCCTGCCCACCTTGTGTATTTCTCTGCCAGCTTCTTGCGCTGCGCACAACGGACAGTGGGGCAGGGGGCAGTGGGGGATGCCCAGCGTCCTGAATGGGGCATGGGCATTGTTCTTCACCACTTTGTCTTCTCTGTTCTCAAGGACCTTGCATCTCACTGGAACCCATCTATTTATCATCTTTTCTGCCTAAGCCTCCCGATGCCTCTGCTGCTATGATCAGGAACCTGTCTACATTCAGAATGAAAAGTGTCCGGGTCTGACACAGCAATTAATTTCCTCCTTCCATTCATAACTTTCCTACATGGAGAAGTGTCCCTCTGAAACTCTGGTGTGGGTATCTGAGCCATGACTCCGAGATGTGAAACACCTGCCTGACTGCTTGAAGTGTTCAGTCCATCATATTGTGTATAAAAGATACTAACTGTCCAGGTGTTCAGGAACACCGGTAGGGTCGGATATTCTTTTGTTCATTCTGAAGCCTGAAGTATGTGAGGCAATTGCTAATTTTTATTCTCTTTTTCTCTCTCTCAATATTTTGAAACAACAGCTTGGAAACCTAGAATTCCCTAAGACATAATAAAAGCCCATTTGCAAATAAGAAAGGGTGCTTGTATTTGTTCGTTTACTCCCTCCTAAGGTCTCCAAGCTGCTGTGTTGCAACTTTCTGCAAGAGGCATGTATGTATAAGAGAGACCAGCCAGGCTGTGCTGAAATCTGTTCTTACAGTGTTGGACAGTCGGACTGATTACAGGTGTAGCTAGGCAGGTTTTCTCTAGGTGAATTTTTTATGCTGTTGGCATGTAACTGTCTGCTAACCAGTTACTCCTCCCCACAGCCCTGTGTGAATGTGACCACCAATAAGGCACCCCCTGCAAACGCCTGCCTGGAAAGGGTGATCCTGCCAATTCCATTTTGGAAATAGTGAGGATGAGGATCTTGGCCCACGTCTGACATGCTATTTCTAATGCAAAAATAGGAAGTGCAATGCGAGTTAGCCTTGAATGTAAGCCCACGAACTCCTGCTGGCACCCCCCCCCCCTCCGCCAGGACGCAACTTCCCTTGACATTGTTTTTACAGAAAAATAAATAAACACCACGTTTTGCAGCATTGCAAGCTCCCCATCCCCCTACCCTCCCTTTGGTAGAAATTTAAAACCTCCGACACCGGTAGAGACGTTGAGCAAATTTTTGTTTTCTGCATGCCTCCTGTGAGAGAGGACTTTCTCCGCCTGTTCACTTTGCACGGTTGATGCGTCAGTCCTTTCTTGCTCAGCTCGTTCGGGGGCTGGAGGGGCTGGAGCCCCCCCACCCCCACCCCCAGGGGCGCGGGGACTGCAGAGCTGCCGTCTGATTGGCTGGGCGGCGGAGGCCGGGCTATAAAGAGACCCCTGCAGGCCCAGGCGGGAGAAGCGCCGCGGATTCTGACAGCATCTCTCCGCAGAGCAGGCGAAGTGCTCCAAACACAAGCCACCGCTCCCGCCGCACTGCTTTCCTCGCCTGCGAACCGCACACTGGGGAAGATGTGCAAAGGACTCGCAGGGCTGCCGGCTTCCTGCCTGAGGAGGTAAGACGATGTTTTTAGCCACTAACCGTGTTCAACTTTGGGATAGGCTTTTCCAGTTACTGACATATCCGGCTTCCTGCCCGAGTTCTTTGGAACAGAATCAATGTGGTCAGGAGTGCATCAACTTTTTCACTTCCCTCCAAGCGCTAGCTGGAAATTGTGACCCCAGGAGTGGTCTCCCCAGATTTTGGCACCTGTGTGTTGTTTCATATGACCTTGGTTTTGAGAGCTGTTCTGATCCTCTAGCCAAACTAGTTCTAATTAAGAAGCGATAGGAGATTTTTGAATTCTACAGAGTGGTCTGTGTTGCACATCATGGGGGAATGATGATATTACTAGACCTTTGGAGGGGAAGGTACCCCAGGGTGAGATTTGGCTTCATCACCAGAAAGGCACCGTGCCCTCTGTGTGATGCTGCAGTATTTTTCACCCTCTGTGTTCTTTTATCCACATGTGACAATAAAATATGAGCTCCAAAGCTAGGTGTCCCGTATCCCTCTGTGCCTACCTTTAGCTCTTGAAATGTCTTATGTGAGTGGTAGTTGAGAACTACTGCATTGAACAAATCAGTAAAGGGTTCTGTAGAAGATCTCATCCTAAAGATATTATTTTGTCAATGTATTGTCTCCTAATTAAACAAAAATTAAAGATATGCAACTATTCATGTCTTCAGATTTTTTAAAAAGGTGTACTTAACGTGTTTCCAGAGGATGCTTATGTATTAGCCAGCTGAAAAAAAAATACAGATGAGTGCCTATTACACTATTTAATCTTACAGTTAGAGGTAAAAAGTCAATCTGTAGGTGTACTGCCCCTCTCTTTCTTCTTTCCTTACAAATAGAAATCACCTTAAATTTCAGTTTAGGAGGTTCTTTTCTGTAGATGCTGTAAAACGGGGCAGGAGGGTCTGGCAGAGAAGTGGCCCAGTGCCCCTGACCTCCACTGCTAGTACCCTGAACTGAATGGAGTTAGTTACTCCAGGCTGCAGTTAACTCAGATATAAAGTTAGCCTTACAAAATACAGGCGTGTCAGGAGGAAGTCATGCTCTGGCCAATATTTTGGGGGACAGGTGAACGACTGCACCACAAGGAGTTGAGAAACTAACTTGGGGAGGCAAGTGCTGGCAGCAGGTGACCTGCTCCCCTCCTCTCCTCACAGGTGAACAGAAGCCGACCCCTTCATCATAGTGTTAGTGCCTGAGGGTCCAGGAGGACCCTAACCCACCCAAGGGCACATAAGTGATGGGGGGGCAGAGTGCAGGTCAAATCCAGGTTTCCTGACTCCAATGACTTCTGACGTCATTTTGTTTTTTATTTGTATGGTTGTACTGTGTTATCAGGACAAGTGCATTGCACAGAGCCATACATTCTTACACCTCTTCATGAAATGACTGCATTGGTCAATAACCAATGGACCCAGCCAGCAATTAGACAGTAACCAGTATTCACCTGGATCTGGCACAAAGAAATAGGTGATGGCCTCTCTTCTGATGTAATCACAATATATTTATATCATCACCTTAGCCTCATGATCATGTCTTGCTTTCAATGAGGAGGATTTTTCATCCCCTGACCAGTTGCAAGAAGCAGGAGGGAAAGCAGTCTTGTGAGGGAGAGAAAACACTATTTTAGGGACAAAGAACGTAATGGGATTCAGACTTTCTGGGAGAATGCACATAGATGAGCCACCAGTATCAGCACCATCCTAAAATGCCTTTTCATCCTTGTGGCTTCATGTTTCTCTAAGTAGGAATGTCCACTCATTCATTTCTTTGAAAATGACATTTCCCTTTTAAAACAGTTTCTTGGCTTTTGTAATAAAAGAGATCCAGGGGAAAGAATAATTAACACAGAATAAGAAAGTTGAGCTATAAACTTATTAAAAGGTCCTCCGTTTTAGGAAGTCGCATGCCCCATTGTACCCTTGCTCCCGGTTAAACAGTGGAAATAAGCTGGAAGCTCTGCTCTGATTAAACAGTCACCAGCTTCAGTGATGCCTCTTGCTTGCTTCTCACTATTGTTGTGAAGCCTCAAATGCCCTTTAGAGCATAGATGTTAGAAAGGAAAGCTGGAGCAGCTGCGGCAGGAACTTCTCTAGAAGCAGCCTCACGGAGCTCAGGTGTCAGCCTGACCATTTGTATTGACCACCTCATTTTCCATTTCCTCTGCTGCAACCACACACCTCCGTGTACATCCCACGATGTGAATCGCGCGACCCACCTCACACGAGGCTGGACTGAACATCAGCCTTGACCTTCCCCTGCTGCTTCTACAGGAGCAGTGAGACAGACGCAAAGAGCAGCCACCCTCCAGAAGGTGGCGTGCAACAGGGGCCATGCTTCTCCGTCACTGCTTGCTTTCCAGTTCCGAACAATCACAGAACAGATGAGCTTTCAATGTATTTCTACGGAGAGTATCAAAGAGTTCCATTGGGCAAAATGACAGGTTTACAGAGGAGAGACCTCTGAGCCCCGCCGAAGGGCCAGAATTCCAGTTACTGACCTTGGATTGGAGGCTGAGGTTGGACTCTGGCCTCTGGATTTTGAAATAAGTCACAGGCAGAAGCGGAAATGGGATCTCGTTTTCCTGAGTGTGCGCGCCAACCGCAGCTCTGGTTTCCTAAATAAACCACCTCTGACCTTCACTAGTATTGGACTCTGAGCTCTAGCATTAAAGCATCCTTTCCCCCCCCCCTTTTTTTTTTTAACCATTATTCTTTTCCCCTCTTCTGTGCAGTGCAAAGGATATGAAACATCGGCTGGGTTTCCTGCTGCAGAAGTCTGATTCCTGTGAACACAATTCTTCCCACAGCAAGAAGGACAAAGTGGTGATTTGTCAGAGGTAAGCGAAAAGATCCGTTGGGAATTAACGTCTGGGGACAGATGTTCTATGGGGTGAAAAGGAAGTTATGTCCCTAGTTAACTAGATTTGGATCTAGGTGGCCTCCATCTTCATGGACGGGATACATGCATTTGAGGTTTCCCTATGCTTAGTGGACAGAGGGCCTTAATCAATAACAGGTGTCATCATAAGGATGAAAAATAGAATCTCTGCATTTTATTTGGAATGTTACATTTCTTGCCCCAGTTTTGTATCCTGGCATTCAAATTATTCTTTTTCCCCATAATGTTTCTAGGGTGAGCCAAGAAGAAGTGAAAAAATGGGCTGAATCACTGGAAAACCTGATTAGCCATGAATGTAAGTCTGACAGCTTTCCTCCTACCGCCACCCCAAGGCGAGGGCGGGCACTCCTGGATAGACGAGTTATCTCACACTCAGCTTGATCTAATCGGAGCTGCAGAAAGAATTAGTTTTTTTCTGACTTCCAGACTAAGGAGAATCAGTGCATTTTGATTTTCACCATGCCCTAGAGCTTTGAGATAAACAATGGCAAATTCATACAAAAACCATGTGGAAAACCATTTCTTCTGCCACGTGGGAAAAGGGTAAAGGACAAACAATCCAAGCATTGAGATGTCTTGCAAAATCAACCTCCGTTTATCTTTCTCAAACCCACTGTGGCAATTGATGGCTGCATAGCTATTTCAAAAATGAGACTGTCTTGCTAGAGACTTCAAACCTCGAGCAAGAAGCAGTCTGTGAAACAAGGGTCCAACGGATCCCAGTCACAGATTAGGGTTACCTGACTCCAGTGACCCCCCACCCCACCAAAAGGGGGAAATAAGGGATTGTTTGAACCCATGCCTTATCCTCTTAAGTACTCAGCTTTGTCTGAAATACAATGTCCAGTAGGCCAGCCGGTGTTTTGACAACTGTGGGTCTGTCTTTTCTATTGCAGGTGGGCTGGCAGCTTTCAAAGCTTTCTTGAAGTCTGAATACAGTGAGGAGAACATTGATTTCTGGATCAGCTGCGAAGAGTACAAGAAAATCAAATCGCCATCCAAACTAAGTCCCAAGGCCAAAAAGATCTACAATGAATTCATCTCAGTCCAGGCAACCAAAGAGGTAGGTTGTCATGGCAGACAACTCCCTGGATCTCGGGGGGATGTCCTACAAGCGGCGGTCAGTGACTCTTCAGGTCATACGAGTTAAAGGAAAAGATGTAACAAGAGAAGAGGTTATTAAAACTCTTTTAACAAATTGAATATAGTTGACATGCCATATAATATTAGTTTTGGGTATGTGATGCAGTGATCCAGCAATTATATGCATTATGAAATGCTCACCACAGTGAATGTAGCGATGTTATTACAATATTACTGATTGTATTCCCTATGCTGTAGTTTTCATCTATGACTACATTTCCTGTGTTGTACTTTTCATCTGTGAGTTCGATGATCTCCCTTAATGGGTTTTCTGATGAGTCTCCCCAGTTTGTGAGAAAGAACAAGAGCGATTGCCTTGCCCATCCTGACTTAGATGAACGTTTTATACCCTCTCACATGCACCAGAGTGGAGTCAAACATCTCCCCCTTCATTCCTGGGGTATAGAGGGTCCACACTACTATTCCGTACAAAGTGTGCAGCCCCTGTCCTCACCAGGGTAATGTGTTCAGTGCAACCTTGGTCTTCGCCCCTCAGGTAAACCTGGATTCTTGCACCAGGGAGGAGACAAGCCGGAACATGCTGGAGCCTACGATTACCTGCTTTGATGAGGCCCAGAAGAAGATTTTCCACCTGATGGAAAAGGATTCATACCGCCGCTTCCTCAAGTCCCGCTTCTATCTTGATCTGACCAGCCCTTCCAGCTCAGGGTCGGAGAAGCAGAACGGAGCCAGGAGTTCTGCAGACTGCCCTTCCCTGGTCCCCCAGTGTGCCTGATTCTCACCCGGCGGCAGAGCGCAGAAATGCCAGGACTCTATGCTCGGAACCCATGAGGCCAGAGACTGCCTGCAGTAAGCACCAGTGCTTTATCCACGTTGCAGCTTAGTGTTTATGCACCTGCCGTGTGCGAGCCACACCCATGTAAAAAGTAGATGTAGTTCTGGTGTTTGCGTGTTTATCAGGGCGGGACCTCATTCCGCTCCAGTCTCCCCAGATTTCTTCTAGTGTGCCAAGTGAGCAAGTCTCCAAATAATGGTTTTGTAGGTGTGCATTTTCAAAGATTGTTGGCCATTCTCTCCTCCCTGTGGTCTGCCCTCAGGTTGCTTGTTGGCACACTTCATGGCGACATCCACATGTATTCTGTTAGCCAGCACTTTCTCCAAACTGTGGACGTTGAGATGAGGTTGATCTACTATGTGTGTGTGTGTGTGTGTGTGTGTGTGTGTGTGTGTGTGTGTATACATATCTACACACACATAAGTATATGCATATTCTCTCTGTGTGTATACATACATATATATTTCAGCAAAAGTAGATAGGCAAGACTTCAGGTGCTCATAACCAGAGTGTGTGTACGTACTTGCATACATGTCCTGATTCCCAGTCTTTCATCCTGCAGCCAACCAGGGCAGATCAAACCAGCTGCCGCGTGGGCTAAAAAGGAACGCTGACCTATGGGAAGCTGGAAAGGCCCATAAGTTGCTTTCCAGCTCTACCTACCATAAGCTGCTGGCCGAGGAAGGGCACAGGATGTAAAGGTCAATATTCTTATCCTCAGCCCTTTTTCCTCTCCTGATCAAGGTGCTCTTCGCACTGTTTTTTCCTGAGAACTCTCGCCATCAGGTGAGGCTCTGTAAGTCACTGCGGCTGCTTGCTTGTTTCCCCAGAGACGCTCTGGGCTGTCTGTCTACACTAATAAGCCAGCAGCGAGAGAAAGATTCTATTTTGTACGGGAGAAACCTGTTTTCACAAACTGAAAAGCCCTCGTGAGTTCCCCTTTTCACAGTAGAATCTCATTCATGCCATCCCGGACATGGGGGCTAACAGGAGTCTGAAAGCCTTTCTTTCTGGGCTCTGAGACTTCATGAGCGAGGAAAGAAGGAAAAAAACAACAACAAAAAAGGATACCAATTGTTAGAACTACTGTTTGGAACTTTTCAAGGCACATAAAATACTTGAAAATTTCTCATTTATGTTATTTATGATGTTTTGTACAGTGCTTTTTTTATTATCGTGTTGTTTTGTAAATGGAGGTGCAGGATATCACCTGAATTATTAATGAATGGCCAGGAAGTAATTTTCTCCTCGTTCTTCTAAAAGTACTGCCTTTGAAGGGTATGCATGTGCATACATGCACACTGCGCCAGTTTCTCCAGTATAAAGTCCATGTGTGAGCATCTGTTGGCTTTTATGCCAATAGAATGGGTGGCAAAATGAAGATACCAGAGTGTAAGTCTGCAAATCTCATTGTATCTGAGATGTAGGTTTTCTCTACTCCACCCTTTGGGTCTCTCTGTGGCTTCTCGATTTCAATGGCTCCAGAGTTCCACACCGGAACCTGTTTCCGTCATACACAGTTTCACGATTTTGTCTCTGGTTGATTCCAGGATCCAGACATGTAATTTGGTTGGTCTTGCCCTAATACAACTGTCATGACTTTCAGATTGTGCCTGTACTCATGACCTGCTGTCTCACAAATAGGTCTGGAAGGTCATTCTGAATGAGAAGTAAATTATTTTATGTAATACATTTTTTTCCCAGTGTGTTTTTCAATTGTATTTTCCTTTTATTTCATCACCATTTGACATGCTGAACTCACTTGCTCATGGTCCGTGGCCAGAATACTCCTTCCATATGCATGCCTGCTTTTATCATGTTCTTTAAAGGCCTCAAAGTTGATGCTCCCAGTGAAACACATGCATCTTAATCATAAGGGTGAATAAATGCTTCATACAAAGCGAACTGCTTGTAAACACATCAATGATCCACAGAGACATGGTAAGAGAAATGGCAGAATGTAGGGGGATTACTTACAGAAAGTGGCCCACATGCAGTCTTTCATCTGCCCATGCCAACTCTAGGAAAGAAAGCAGAAAATGAAGATCGTCTATGCCTTGGTTTCTGCCGCTGCTCTGCCTGTCTCTAGTCACAGCATTGAGGCAGGCTTGGCAGCAGGGACTTGTGCTGAATAGGTGGTTTACTTGCGGGCCAGCAATAAGTTTCATGGGGTGGAGGTCATCTTCCAGAGCAGCTCTTCCCCCCCATTGGGAGCCTGATTGAGAGAAGAGGGGGCAGTGGGAGAAGAGGGGAGGCGGGAGGAGCTATAGGATTGGCCCCGTCAAACTGCCCAAAGCCCCTCCTCCCTCCCACAGATCCTCTTCCCCAGAAAAGGGGTCCCAGAATATTCACACCCGCACCATGGGCTCTCTGCCTGTTATGTCCTGAGACCCCCATTTCCTAATTTCATCCTTTCCCCTTGTAAGAGTCATGCCTGCAGGATGTTAGGGGTTGTGGTTCTTCCCTACATGGAGCAACGGATCCTTCTGAGGATCTGATGAAAACTGTGGACCATCTCCTGTGAAAAATACACAAAGGAGTCCAAATTCTGCAGAAATGCTTAGAGGAAACTTTCACAACCCCGTCTCGAAGCACACAAGGCCGTCATTCCTCTCACGCTGTGGGTGCGTAAGACTCACCGAGAGTGGACAGTCGCTGCTCCATGTCTGTAACACTGTCATCCAAATAGAATTCAAAGTCACTGCTTTTAGCAAGGTGAGGGGTTCTTTTCTCCACTCTTTACCTTGTCCATTCTTTCTTTCTCCTTAAAGGTTGGCGATGAAATAAATAGAAAATAGGTGCCGATCCTTTTTCTGAAGGCCATCAAGAATGATGTTCTGAAAAACACTTATTGTTGCTTCCAGATAGTGTGCCAGATATTGTCCTAAGCCCTTTACATATATAACGCAGTTAATTCTCACACCAACCCTGAGATATAGATGCCAACGATGGCATCTGCTCCTCTTTACAGATGAGAAAACTGAGGCACAGAGAGGTTAAGTAACTTGCTATGGTCAGACTGCCATCAAGTAGCAAAGCTGGGATTTGAACTGAGGCAGCACTGCCTCCGGAGGCCATGACAGGGATGGACATGGGGAGCCCACCCAATATCCACATGCCCATGGATAAGGAGCAGAGGGTCCCTTTCCAATCGAGCTGGTCAAGAATAGTGCCAAATGCCCTCTCCACCTCTCTCTTCCCTTTCTGTGCCAACTTTGGAATTATTTGTTCCAGGCTGCATAGCTACAAGATGAAGGACTTCTGGACTCACTGTGGGATATAAAGTGAATAAGAAATAAATCATTGCTGATCGAGTCATTTGTTTATGAGGTTGTTTATTACTGCAGTAGAGCATTGCTTGCTCTGAGAAATGTAGAAACTATACTCTTAACTATTACAGGGTATGGGTGTCATTCGTTGTGTGGGGGGCATATGCTGGAATATGGATTCAGAGGACTCACTGATATTTATAGCAGTTTGCAACAAGGACCTGACTTTGGGGAAACTCCACCATCGAAGAGGCCTCAGGCTATGCTCTGGAACTCTGTGTTAATAGGTGCTCTGATGTTTAAGCTTAGAAATGACATGTTGGAAGGATGACAGAGGACAGAAGAGGAAAGAAGAAAGAACAAGCAAACAAGAACTACCTCCAAGGGAAAAGCCACTATCCATCAGCCTAAGCCAAACTTGCAGCCAAAAAAAATCATCAGAGCAAAGCCAGTCAGGTAAATGGGCACATGTGACCAGCCAGACTCAGAAACACAGTATACAATGGTGCCCTTTAATGGCTCCATTCACTTAATTCAGAGTCTATTTCAAAAAATGAGTTTGCTTAGGCCATTAAATTACATGACAACCCACTAAATTATTGATTGTTCTTCACTAAACCTGTTGTTTAGTTATGCACTGCTCTGCTTGTCTAACATCTAGATGTCACACAGAAACAGGACGTGAGAAAGGAAATTCTTGTTTTTGTTCTTTTTGTGATACAGCATAGAGGCAAAATTGAATGAGATGACTCGGGACTCATACTTTTTATATTTTGCATTTAAGGTGATAATGAAAGAGCCAGGTCAGGAACTACCATTCTTCTTAGGCACATCAGTGGAGGTAAACAATGCCTGGAGAGGGCTGGGTCTCCAAAGGGAATTTAAAACTTAATAGTGGCCAGGGATGACCACAGAATCTGGGTCAAAGGGAATCACAGCCCGTGTGCCAGGTGACAGCTTGTGCCCGTGAACAGTGAGTTCAACCATGGGAATCAGGGACGGGTGGCCTCTTGGGAGTGACTCTTCAGGGTTGACTTAGGGACATCACTTCTGAAAAAATGAGAATAAGAGTTCTGATTTTTTTAAGAAGTCCTATTTATAAAAGTTCCAGATTATTCCACCAATCTGTCTGGCCTTTCTGTAGCTGTCTTGTCCCAGGACAGTATATTCCTGAGAGGTCTCCTCCATAGCAACAGCAAATTATAGAAATTAGGGGAAACAAATTCTAATTGTTCCTATTGAATACAAGTCCAGTTCATTTCTTCTCCCACCACCATGCCTATAGGCTCTGCCTGCCCCTTATATTCTCATTTCTCTTCTGTAGGACTTGGTACTTTTAATATTCTTGTCTTATTGCCCATAGTTCCTTCCCTTTGGGGTCTTAGATGGGACCACTGTTAGGGCAGTTTACAAATTCCAGATCAACTTCTCCTTTAATTCCTAGCTTGGAGTCCCTCAAGCTAGAAACTATGGGATCATCCTTCATTCCTTCCTGCTCACCCCACACACTGGGGAGTCACTCAACTCTGCAGAATTCCTCTGAGGGTAAAGTCTCTCAGAGTCTATTCCTGCCTCTCCACCGGCATGACCACGGCAGGCCCTTCACTCAGGCTCTCATCATAGGTGGCCGGGTGGATTGCTGTGGCCTTGCTTGTGGTCTTTCTGCCTACAGTCTGATAGCCTCTAGCTCACTCCAAATAACTACCAGTCTGCTCTAAGGTACACGTTGGATCTCTCACCCTCCTGCTTAAAAATCAGCAATGTTCCCAACTTTCTAGGCTAGTAGTCAAGACCCTTCATGATTTTGAATTCTATCTGGTTTTCTGACCTCATCTCCACAGCTCCTCCTTTGATCCAGCAGCAAGGATTTGCAGTTCCTGAAGAGGCATGTTGTTAATTGCCTATCATTGTTCACATCAGTCTTCTCTCCTTCTTTATCTATCTGACTCTACTCTGCATTTTAAACTCAGCGGAAAACCTACAAATGCTGAGAAGCCTTCTTCAAGTTTGGGGCACGATGTCAGTGTTCCTCCGTGGGGTCCCTTGACACTCTGTTACTCTTGTATTATTACTAGCACAACTGTCCTGTAACCCTTGGTTTGTAAGTGTGTCTCCTGAACTATACTGCCATTCTTTCAAAGTTACCAACCACATCTCACTTGATTTTATAACTCCTGCACCAAGTAATGAAGCTAATACATAGAAGGCAGCTATTTCTTGACTCAGTGTCTACCTTTGGTTTTCCATTACCCCCTCCCCCATGAAAACAGGAAGTGATCCATCTAGTCCTTCCCATTTCTTAAATGCCTATTGTGTACTGAGCGTTTATGTGACCTAATCCACTCAGAATCTACAGCAGTCTTGTCGCTTCCCTCCTGGAGAATGCACAAATATCTCCCAGCCTTGTGCTGAGGGCTGGGGATGACATAATCAGAGGAAGGAATAGCTGGTGGAGACACTTGGAAGAGAAAAGAAGATTTTAAAAAGGAGTTACGAGTGAAAACAGTATGTTCCTGTATCTATTGTACACGTATGATTAATTTACATGGAGTTCATATAATTGTATATGTGAAGTCAGCATGCTCCTTTATATGAACCACTTTCTCATTCATATCCACAGTATAGCATGATAACATTTATTGTTTACTCTTTGCTAATACCTCTCTATGTGTATTAACTTATATATATATGTATATATATAAATCATATACATTTATAGCATGTATATCCTATGAAGCAGAGGCACTAAAATTTATCACCTTCCTTTTATAGATGATAAACAGAGGCACAGAACAGCATGTATTTTGCCCCAGATCACATGGATCATAGTGGAGGAGCCAGGAGTTGTTTCCAGCGTGATGTGGCCCCAGAACCCACAGTTTTTTACTAATGTCTCACATAACCTTGGAGTTCTACGTACCTGGTAGTCAGTCAAAAAAAAATAAATGTGGATTAATTGACCACTCTTTCCTTAAAAAATGTTTCTCTGCAAGTTTCTTCAGCTAACCTCATACTACACTCATTTCTTGGTATGCTCCTACTCCTAAACAGGAATTTCTTGTAAAATGTTTAACCACTTGCTTCTGTCTCTTCTAACACTTCATGTTTCCTTCAAAACCTTCTCCCCTGACCTACACAAGGTAGTCCTGTCTTTGGAGCAATAGCCAGAAATTTCAAAAACCAAAGTCTAGGCCAGTGCTGTCTGTACTGGCACCCCCAGCATAGCCAACTCACTCAACTGCCTTCGTAATTTCTACAACCCCCACTGGCATCCGGACTCAGTCCATGGAGTTATTGTAGATGGCAGGTGGGGCAGTCTCCAATCCTGTTCCCTGGCTTATGGCTCTTTACACTGATAACTGAGAAATAAGTTGGACATTCTGTGACCTCAGCACTAAAAGTAAGTCCTGGCAGAGGCTCCCA